CCCCAGATGAACTTTGTGTCACGAGGCGCTCGCTGTTGGCAGATTAGCGCCGAATCAGGCCCGCGGTGGCCGTCCCGAGGGTGGAAAAGACCGGGGGTTTTTTTAGCGGGGTGGAGGTGGGGGTACGGGATGAGTAGTCCCCATCGCGGTCCGATTTCTCCTCCCTGCACCCTAATGACTTGTCTTCCCCCCCACAGGGATACCCACCCACCATCCCAGGGTCTACAACATCCACAGCCGGACCGTCACCCGGTACCCTGCCAACTCTATCGTGGTCGTGGGAGGCTGTCCCGTCTGCAGGTGAGTGGGTCTGCAGCCTGGGGACTGGCCCTGGAAACGCTGAGGACCCCCGCCCTACCCCCCAGGACTTCACAAAGTCAGCTCTGCTTGTGGGAGTGGGTCCGGCTTGACTTGGATCTTGATCAGAGCCCTTTATGGGAGGAACAGACAGGCTGCCCGTATGCGGTGTGGGAGAGCGTGGGTCCACTCACCATTGGCTCTGAACACATTTTGTGGGGGCAAAAGGGTGGATTCCTTTTCCTAGATTTTGGGGTATTGCACCCCAAGTGATTGGGATGTAGAAAAGGTAACAACGGGACTCGTGGTCTTTTCGTCTTTGTTCTGGAACTTGCAAGGAATCAGGTGTCTGCATTTTCCTTCAATTTCCGCAAGTTTACTCTGCAGTCGATCATCGAAGGTGGTGGAAGGTTTCGTTTTCCCGGAAGGGGCATTTGGAAGTAAGTGCACCAACAGGAGAGACCTCAGTGGGAGAAGCGACGGCTGTAAGAGCTGCTTTAGCCAAAGCTGGCTTGAAACACCCTTTCACGAGCTGGACCAGGATGGAAGCCCCGTGGTTCTTTGAGGCAGGAGTGATTTTTTTCATATCCTCGCATTGGACCTGCACAGGCTTTCTGGTTTTCATAGGACCCTGAGGTGCAGCTAGAGGATTGTTTTGTGGAGGTTTTGAGGATTCAAATTTAAATAAGGATTAATTAAATATAAATCCTTGGCAGCTGGGGGTGTTCAGATTGCCTAGAAAGTAGGGGCAGAGTTGGCGGGGACAGGGTTTTCAGCTGTATCTGGGAGGAGGAAGTTGAAGCCGCTGAGATGGAATTAAGAAACCCTGGTTTGGACTTACACTTGATTTCAAAAGTGTGTGTGTAAGGCCTAGAGCAGAGTCATGGGGAAGTGAATGATTTCAGAGCCTTAGCAGGCAACTTCCTGGGAAGAGGGAGGGCATCCCAGAGGTGGGGACAAGAGGCTGGGACCTCAGGGGCAGGTTGTGGCCGCTTGCCTGCATAGGGACCCCGTGACAAACCCTAACTGGGACGTCAGTTTGACACAGTTGGTCGCCACCCAGCAGAAACATTGGCCTTTTGGAGTGAAGGTGGAGGGGAGGGCAGGGCGGGGCGCCGGCTGCCTCCGGGACATAGTTTTCTCTGGGAGCTGCACCGGGTTGAGGGGGCTGGCAGAGCTGTGTGGGTGTGAAGGCACATGGAGGGGACTCAGAACATGGAGGAGCAGAGGGTCTGCCTGCGTGTCATTGTCCATGCCTTGCCATCCCAGTGTCCAGCCTGCCGGAGGAGCTGGATTCCAGTCCTGGTCCTGCCAGGAACAGCGGGGCCTGTTTCCCCGTCTGGGACATGGGGGTGCCTGGTGAAGTGTCTCTGAAGCTCTTAGCTCTTCTCTGCCCAACCCCCTGAACTTGGAGATGTGGGAGACCAGCGGCAGCGAGGGATGGCCCAGATATCCCAGGGCTGAGGGGGCGCCCAGGTGGCGGTGCAGTTGCTGTCGGTATGGGGGTGCTGGCCCTGCCACTTCCCCTTCCCTAGGTGGGAGCTGTGTCCCTGTGGAGGCCCGTGGCTTCCGCTGACCCGGTGGTGCCCCCCAGCTATGCAGAACCTGGAGTGGGGTCAGGCTGTGCTCTGCTCTGCTGTGGAGCATCTTGGGCTTGGCCCCCAGAGGCTACAGGAGTGGGGTCCTCAGTTACTTGATCACTGTGCTCTCTGCCCTTGGGCAGCTGCACCAGGCAGGGTGGAGGCTGGGTCCTCTCTGGACAAGGTTGGGGGGTCCTTAGTCCTTTAAGTTGGGACCAGAGCACTCTTTGATCCTCCGGCGACCTCTTGGGTTGCAGCCAGGCCCTCCCAGCACACAAGTCCCTGCACTCTGCCTGTGGTGCCCTGGATGCTGGAGAGTGGCCCCCGCTCCCCGAGGCTTGGCCTCTGCAGCAGCATTGGGCATGGGATGGGCCCCTGTGCCCTGCAGCAGCCAGAGGGCGAGCAGGGGGCTGGGTGCTCTGCTGCTGGCGTCGGGAGGGGGTGTGTGGTCCCTGGGCCACACCTTTCTACGAGAAGAGTGGAGACACACGTCTGGTCGTCTGGCCGCCGCCTGCTGTCTTGGGGCTGGGAGACAGGATACCGCTCACGTGACCACACTTCCTCCTGCCCCAGGTCCAGCCCACTGGGCTCTGTCCCCCTCCCTGCCTGGTGGCATGGCAGGAATTTGTCCAAGTCACACGTCTGTTAGTCCTTCTGAGTGAGGCTTGGCCAGAGAAGCCTATGTCCCTTATGGCTCTGCTGCCCTGGCCAGGCCTTTGCTGAAGCTTCCTGACTCCGTCTGCCCTTTTTAGCCGTTTATGAGGAAGCATTTCCGCAGCCCAGCGGTGGATATGCCCCTGTTCCTCCTGCCCTCCTGCTTCACGCCTGCCCTGCCCTGCCCTGCCCTGCCCTGCCCAAGGCCTGGGCCTCTCTGCCCAGGGAGGCCAGTCTTTCTCTGCTGGGGTGTGGTTATACCTAGGTGCAGGATGAGGTGGCTGCGCTGGGCTGGAGCAGAGCCTGTGCCCTGAAAACCAGGAACGCAGGAGTGGGGAAGGCCCTGGCAACACAGGGCCTGGCCCGCACCAGTCCCCCATGAGTATGGCTGGGCTGTCATTGGGCACTTAGTTTTGGGGGTGACCAGAGGGGAAGTCCTGAAAAGGATTTCACCTTTCCTAGGGACGGTGAAAGGAACAGCTGTGGAGGGCGGATGTTGCTCAGAGGTCCAGGGTGCGGCTCAGTAGCCAGCATGGAGGTTGCCACGGCCCTTGAGGGGCAGAGGTGGGCTGTGGAGGGCACGGGGGGTGACTGTGGAGCCTGGGAAGGGCTGGAGGGGAAGGATCCTGTGATATCCTTGGGCTTCCAGATGATGGTGGTGGAGGGGCTGGTCCCTCCTACCGCCTGTGACCTGGAAGCCAGCGCTCCCCTGGTTGAGGAAGTAGCTGAGTTAGCTGGGACGGCCCTGCCCATATGCATGGCCTATGGGCTGTCCCTGTCCTGACAGTCTTGGCCTGAGGTGTGGGGGCAGCGGATGGGCTGGAGTTTGGGCCTAGGCTGCCTGCTGGGCAGGGTTGTGGACCTCAGGGTCCGAGTGCTGCCTCAGTGGCCTCCTGAGTTTCTAACCTTGGGCTTTGCCCCCAGCTGCGGGCCAAGTGGCACCGCTGGGGTGGGTGTGGTGGCAGGCAGAGTCTCAGGCCTTTCTTCCACAGGAGAGGCTGGGACTGGCCCTGGCCATTGGGTTTGCTGGGAATGGCCCTGGTGAACTGTCCCTAAGCGAGGCAGCTCCCCCACCCCTGTGGGGGGAGTGGATACCCTGGGACAGCCAGAAGCTGGCTGGAGCTGCTTTGGGGCCACCTTGTCCTGCGCTGAGCATGGCTTCAGGCCCGCAGCCCTCTAAGGAAGCCCTTTTCCTGGCGAGCTCGGCCTTCCAGCGAGGTGTGGTGGTCTGGGGTTGTTCCTGGGCGTGGATGGTGCCGCGAGGCCACTGTGTCTGCACAGAGGGCAGCTGGGTGCCCTGGGGCAGCCCCCTGTGACACTGACTGCCTTTGGGGGCTGCCTTGGAGGGAGAACGGGCCTGCAGGATGGGTGCTTGTGACTGGGGAGCCCATCCAGGTTCAGATCCCAGCCACGCCCTTCCCTGCTGGGAGGCCTTGGACACACCCCGGTTTTTAGCCTCCTGTGAGCCCATCTGGGTTCACATCCCAGCCACGCCCTTCCCTGCTGGGAGGCCCTGGACACACCCTGGGCTTCAGGCTCCTGTAAAGTGCCTTTGGGGATACAGGAAGGGTGAGGATGGCCCTTTCCCTGGGCAGCTCAGAGCCCTGCTGCCAGCCCCTTCTGTCCCTGGTGAGGCGGGAGCCCTGTGGCCTCCACTGTCCCAGGGCCCAGCTCCAGGTGGATGACAGTGGCATGACTGGCCACTTTCACTGCAGGGCTGGAGTCGCCTTAAGGGAGTGCTCTTGGAATTAGTCAGTTCCCTAATTTCGCCAGTGGCCATGATCCCTCCCTGGCCGCGTGGCCTATTGCGCAAGAGTGGGGGAGGGGCAGCTAGAGGGAGCCGGGTCCCGAGCAGTTGAGAAGGTTGAAACCCACCCCACCAACCCAGGTGGGCTCTTCTGGGTTTGGAAGGGAGAACTGGAGGCCGTGGGGACGGACAGGCTGGCGGGGATGGCAGCTGTTCCGGTGCGGGGGTTCCCCTTCTCCCCTCCAGTGCTGGCCCTGCAGCTTGGGGAGTCTTGGCCTAGAAGTTGGATTGTGTTTCTCAGTTCAGAAGATTTGGGGTTTTAAAAAGCACATGATGCCAACACGCCTTTTGAGGTCTAGGACAGTACTGCAGTTAAAACATTAATATTTCTGCAGCAAGACATGAATATTCAGATAAACTAGGATAAATTACGACTATAAATAGCCACACACCAGTTCAGGTCACATGTTGCTGCCAGGTGAGTTTGCTGTCAAGTGACAGCGAGTTCTGCCTTCAGCGCCTCTTGGTGTTTGAAGTTGTGGGTGCGGCTGTGGAATCCTGGGGGGTAGGGTATGCTGCCCACCCTCCAGCTGACCCCAGAGCCAGAGGTGAGGGCCGAATTCTCCTGGCCAGCCCTCGGGCCTTCGAAGCCGGTTCAGGGTTCTCGGGTCTGGATCACAGCCTCCTGTTGCTGGCGGAGGCCTGAGCCTCCTGGGGCGGCTGGATCTGTCCAGTTCCTGGGCGGTACTGCAGGGAAACAGGCTCGCTCTCCCCAGAGACCCAGGGGCCTTGGCCCTCCTGCCCTGTCTTTAAGTGGCGTGGAGGCAGGCAGGAGGGTGGGGGTTGAATGGACCAGGGATGGGGAGGCTGCCCTAGGAGGTGCCAGAGTGGGTCCCCAGACTGAGGGGCTCAGCCCAGGGTGGCACAAACGGGCCAGCCCTGTGCTCTGGCTGACAGGATGGGTCTGGACGGAAGCTCCATGGGTTGGAAGGAGGAGGGTGTTTCCCTGTGCCTGGGAGGCCGTGGGGTCAGTGCGTTTGGTTTGGCCCATGGCGCTGCTTGCGGCCCCGGGGCTGGGAATCGAGGTGCTGAGAAGCGAGGCGCCGGGGCCTGGGTGGGCTGGGCTGGTGCTGCTGGAAATCCTGGCGCTCAGGTGGGTCAGCGCCCTGGCCCGTGGCAGTGGGAATCCAACGTGAGTGAGCAGCCTTCCTGCACTTCTCAGCTCTGACGGAGTTAGGTGGGTTTTGGGGTCTGGATGGAGAATTAGGAAGCAGGAGGGCGCTGCTGCCCTTGGACTTGGTGAGAGCAGCAGCTGCAGGTGGGAAGCTGGTGTGGGCGGGGCCACCAGGCAGCACTGAAGCCCCACCCCCGCCCATTGCACCATTGCACCTGGATGTCTCTGCTGTGCCCCATGGGCGGGCTCCAGCCAGGCTCCCCACCCACACGCCTTTGCCCAGCCTCCTCCCAGGCACCTCTGGGCCTTTGAACAGGCAGTCGGCTCTGCCCGCAGCCCTGCCTCTCAGCAGCTTTGGTCCTGAGGCAAGGTGCTCAGATGGTCACTGATTGGGCCGGCTGAGGGGGGCCTGGTGGCACTGGGGACCACTCCAGGGGCAGGCTTCTTCCCTGGAAGGATTTCTCAGCTGGTTCACCCTCCCTGTCTGGTTTTTCATGGGACATTTTCTAACCAGAATATACAGCCAGTGTGTTTCTTGGGATTTGACTGTAGATGCCGTGGAGGAAACGGGAAAGGAAGCCCAGACGCTCCCTCCAGCTCCCCCCGGAGCCTGTCATGGCCATCTGTGGGGACACAGCTGGTGCTCGGCCTTCCCGGGGCTCCCCCACCTCGACTGTGTGGTCTTGGGAGCTGTGGCAGCTGGAGCTTCTGCCCACCCGACACCCCGGGGAGAAGGTCCTGGAGCCGGGCAGGGCAAGCTGCACTCAGCAGGGCTGGGCGGAGGTGTCCTGCCCAGTCTGGACTGGCAGGGGCAGCCCTGGGCAAGGCTGAACAAGTGTGGTGGCCTGACGACCTTGTGGTGCTTAGACAGGGGACACTTTTGTAAAAGTCCACGCAAGAAGTAGAAACTTTGCTGACAGGCTCCGGTCTTTGGCTTGGCTTTGCCTTGGAGCTTCACAGTGTGCTCTGCAGCCCAGCTCCGCCCCTCCACACAGACAGGTGGCGCTGTGTGAGTCTGGGGAACACTGGGTAAAGAGGGCCGGCTGCAGGACTGCTCAGAGCCTTTTGAGAACGAATGGACACAGGGACTCTAGGAGAAAAGTTTCCCCAAACCGGCTGAATGGTCCCCCTTTTCCAAATGTGTACCACCGTGTCTGGCTACTTTTAAATTGTTGTAGGGGTGTTGCAGGGGGGTTTTACTTTGTTGCCCAGGCTGGTTTTGAACTGCTGGCTTTAAGTGATCCGCCTCAGCCTCCCAAAGTGCTGCAGTTGCAGGCGTGAGCCACCGTGTCCAGCTCCATTGGAGATGGCTGAAGGGACTTCCCTGAGGAGGCCGGAGGGAGGCAGGTGGGCATGAAGTGTTTTTCCTTTTTTTTTTTTTTTTGAGACAGAGTTTTGCTCTTGTTGCAAAGGCTGGAGTGCAATGGTGCGATCTCGGCTCACTGCAACCTCCACCTGCCGGGTTCAAGCAGTTCTGTCTCAGCCTCCCGAGTAGCTGGGATTACAGGTGCCCGCCACTACGCCTGGCTAATTTTTGTATTTTTAGTAGAAACGTGGTTTCACCATGTTGACCAGGCTGGTCTCGAACTCCTGACCTCAGGTGATCTGCCTGCCTCGGCCTCCCAAAGTGTTGGGATGACAGGCGTGAACCACTGTGCCCGGCAACTTTTTCTTTCAGCAGTGCAAAGCCCAACTTCAGAATATTCTGGTTTATTTTCCATAATCCCGGGAGAAGCAGGGAATAGGTTCTGTGGGTGGGGTTTGGGCTCCCCAGCCTGCCTTGCTTAGCAGTGGTGGAGGCAGTGGCCCTCATGAGTCCAAACTCCCAGAAAGCAGCTTGGGAACATGCAGGGTGCTGGGATGGGAGTAGGGTTCCCCACGTGGCCAAGTTTTCTCCCCTTAGCAAGGCACAGGTAGTCACACTTCCCTGTTGCAGGCGGGCGACCACACCACCTTGTTGTAGGCTCCCCTTCCCCACTAAGCACCAGCTCCCATCACCTGTCAGACACTCCCACCCTGTTCTGTTCTCTCTCCACTTACTTCAGTACTGGCTGGATGGAGGGGTTTGGGCCCCCAGGAGGACCAGAAGGAGCCCGCAGGGGGCTGCCTGTCTGGTGGGAGCAAAGCTTTTCTCATTTGTGCTGAGCTGGCTAGTGTGGTTAATTTCAGCTGTGTCCAGAACTTTCCAGAAATAGCCTAAGGAGCTGAGCTGAGCTGAGCGCTCGGCTCCTGGCTTCCTACTTTTAGGGGCTCTGAAACTGACACTTGGGTTCGATGATTGCAGGTCACTGAACCTGTGCTCACTGGTGCAGGATTTGTGGGATGGCCTTTAGGTGTCTTAGTCTGTTACATTGAACTTGGTTGAAGAGGAAGCTTTGAGATCACATTTTGAGAAATAAGACATTATTTCTTCAGACATTGTGTGAACATGGCCGACTGCAGTCTCCCATTAACCCACGCCCACTACCAAAGGAACAGAAATCCAACAAAAGCCCAAACACTGACGGGACCACTAAGCTTGCTGGTTGCTCCTTTTCTTTTTTTTTTTTTTTTTGAGACATTCTCGCTCTGTTGCCCAGGCTAGAGTGCAGTGGCCGGATCTCAGCTCACTGCAAGCTCTGCCTCCCGGGTTCATGTCGTTCTCCTGCCTCAGCCTCCTGAGTAGCTGGGACTACAGGCGCCCGCCACCTTGCCCGGCTAGTTTTTTGTATTTTTTTTTTTTTTTTTAGTAGAGATGGGGTTTCACCGTGTTAGCCAGGATGGTCTGGATTTCCTGACCTCGTGATCTGTCCGTCTTGGCCTCCCAAAGTGCTGGGATTACAGGCTTGAGCCACCGCGCCTGGCCTAATTTTTGTATTTTTAGTAGAGACAGTGTTTCACTGTGTTAGCCAGGATGGTCTTGATCTCCTGACCTCGTGATCCACCTGCCTTGGCCTCCCAAAGTGCTGGGATTACAGGTGTGAGCCACCGTGCCCGGCCTCTGGTTGCTCCTTTTCTAAGAGCAGATATGTGTGGCTTGTGGCACCAAAATGGTCTTGCCTCTCAAGGTTTTACTTTTTGAGATGGAGTCTCGCTCTGTCACCCAGTCTGGAGTATAGTGGCTCTATCTCGGCTCACTGCAACCTCTGCCTCCTGGATTCAAGTGATTCTCTTTGTCTCAGCCTCCCAAGTAGCCGGGACTGCAGGCACGTGCCACCACGCCTGGCAAATTTTTGTATTGTTAGTAGAGACAGGGTTTCACCATGTTGGCCAGGCTGGTCTTGAACTCCTGAACTCAGGTGATCCACCTGCCTCTGCCTCCCAGAGTGGTGGGATTACAGGCAGGAGCCACCATGCACCCAGCCTTGCCTTTCAAGGTTAACTGATAAGACTTTTCAACTGTTTTATTCTTCCCCTTTTCTTTTAATGTTAGTGATTAAATAGCAGCTCTGGCCATTCTATGAACTGGCACATGCAGATGGTTCTTGGGGCTCTCCGGGCCAGTGGGCTGTGGCTGGGCGGTGGGGGGCTGTTTTCTCAGGCGGATTGTCACTGTCCCTCACCGGAGGTCCCCATGTCAGTTGTGGCCACTGGTTGGTTGAGTGCAAGGGTGGGAGGGGTGAGGGTTCTGGCTGCCCGGGTCCTAACGATGCCGCCCTCTCTGCCGCAGGGTCGGGGTGCTGGAGGACTGCTTCACCTTCCTGGGCATCTTCCTGGCCATCATCCTGTTCCCCTTTGGGTTCATCTGCTGTTTTGCCTTGAGGAAGCGAAGATGCCCCAACTGCGGAGCCACCTTCGCTTAAAGGAGCAGCAGGCCCGGCTCTCCTACCCCAGCTCTTTTTCTAATGTAAATGTTGTGTACAATAGTTTTATTTGATTCAGCTTCAGAACTGTTTTGTAAAGCGAGGTGGGACAGATGTGGCACACGCCAGCTGCGGTTTCCCGGAGTGTGGAGCGGCAGCGCTGCTGCTCCCGCCCGAGGCTCATGACAACTCAATAAAGCACTGCTTTTATTTTCTGCAGTCTTCAATTTGAGAAAGGTGAGAAATAATGTTTTCAATAAATGAGATTCATACCATTGTTGACCTGGTGCTGCTTACTCAGTGCTTTCAGACACCCAGGAGAGACCGGAACGACACCCCCATTGCTGCCTCGGCGCTCCCCAGGCCAGGCCTGACCACCTTGTATTCAACAGGTGCTTACAGCTCAAGAAAATATGCTTGTTTTCAAGTTCTTTATTATTAAAATTATAATCCCTTGACATTCACAGAACAGGCACCTCAGTGCCAAGGATAAGGTCATCCCCCCGTTCTGGTCTGGGAGGTGGAACCTGGGGCCTGCAGGTTGCATCTGAGACCCCCAGGTCCTAGTCTTCAACCCCGTAACAAAACCAGAACCATCCCCAAGGGGGAACGCCAAAGGCCAGGTATCACCCATGGCACCAGATGGGGCTGAGCCCTGCCTCTGACGTCTGAAGTGGGGAACACGGCCACGGGGTTTGCGTGGACTGAATTCTCACGTGGCTACAGGGCCCTTCTGTAGGACAGACTGGGGGCATTAACATATAGTTCATGGTGCCTGCAGCCCTTCCTGGGGGCTGGGTGGGGGGCGCGTCTGGTTTGTCCTCCCAGCAGAAGCAGAAGCAGATGGTGACACTGCTGGACCTGGCTGGAAGGAGCCTGAAGCATCGCCCACGTCCACTGGCTTACCTGCATGTAACCTCTCCCAGTCTCAGCCTCACAGGAAAGTAGTACACTTAAGGCAAGGCCAAAGGAGAGGTGATAAGCCCCAGCCCCAGCACCCCACAACACACACAGCGGCTGGGCTGGAAATCTGTCACCCGGGCTGCAGGGCAGCGGCATGATCTGGCTCACTGCAACCTCTGCCTCCCGGGTTCAAGCGATTCTCCTGCCTCAGCCTCCCGAGTGGCTGGGATCACAGGCACGCACCACCACGCCTAATTTTTGTATTTTTAGTAGAGACTCCTGACCTCAAGGTGACGCGCCTGCCTCAGTCTCACAAAATGCTGGGATCCTCCTGTACCTGGACCAGGCTGGGAATTGGGTCCAGATCCTTGGCAGTCAGAGGTGAATTCCAGTCCCGGGCTTAGGGCAGCCAGTGTGCAGTCCTCACATCCGTACCACAGGGCCAGGTTCTGAGGGCATCATGGCTGCTAGGCTGAAAAACCCGCCCTCTCCAGGCACCAGAGGTCATCCTGGCTTTACACGTATCCTCGAGAGTCTGTACCCGATTCAAACACGGAGAAACCGGGACCCCAAGAAGTTTGAGTGTATTGGTAATGGATGCAGCTTTGGCCAGCTAGCAGAGAGAACACAAGGAGCCGTGACTCTGACGCCCAGGCCTGTGTCCTGGATGGGCTGTGTGCAGCGACTCCAGTCAGTGACTCCTAACTACCAAGAAAAGGAGCTCTCGGAAGGGATTTCGTCAAGTGCTACATGTGGCTGTGATAAAGGCAGGCAAAGCGTCTTAGCACTTACAGCTCTGGTGCAGTTGGACGGAGGGCAGGGGTTTCTCCATCTCTGGAAGCTCTACACTTTGATTAAACATTTTAAGTTAAAAAGTTACATTCATATAGTATTTTCATAATTTATATTGCTTAAAATTATGATTTGCATGCTAAGATGCAAACTTCCGTGATATTTTCTTTAGACATAATGCTACTAAGGGCACGTGCTTTATAAAATAAAATGGGTCTCATTGACATCAGGTGCAGAAAGCCAGTCATGAAAGCATAGACTATCCCTTATTCTGGCTGTTAAGGAAAAAAATTTCATTTAAAAAAATACAATAAAGATTGAAACCAAGTTTTACTGTTTCTTGAACAGAATAGGAAGAAAATATTTTAAATGACTGAGTTGGTCATTAGACTATTACTCATTTCTTAAAGGCAGAAACTTGTCAACCCAACTACGTGAAACAGAGAAGCATGCTTTGCTTAGGCAGGCGACATTAGAGTTAGGACGTGCCCATCATTCCGCGAGGGAGAACCGGAGAGGCCCGGGAGAGTCCTCGGCCGTCTTCTCATCGAATGATGGGTGCCGAGCGATCGTTCGTCACGGTTGGGCGGAGTTTCACAGTGGCAAAGGGGTTTTCTCCGCTGCAGGGGATAAGAAAAACCTTTCAGAACTTCCACTCCATGAGGGAAACTGGATTTTAACAGCGCTAATAACCCATTCTTGCCCTGTGAGACTGCGGCTGACCACCTCACCAGCTTGTACAGGTCCCAGCAGTGATTTCTGAGTGGAAGTTTTGTTCAGTCCTACACTGTACCACCCGCTGCAGAACGATCCCAGGTTTTAAACATTCTGGACGTGGGCACCCACACCTCTTTAGTCCTGCATTGCGTGTGATATGGGGGCCGCTCTGGGGTGGCAGGCCCTGCTCCCAGGGTGGTCTAAAGCAGGTGGTAAAGGGACCAGGGGGCCGCAGTCCCCCATGGCTCCACAGGCTGAGGCCTTTCTCAGGCTGGGCCTCCTGGGCAGGGCACTGAAGGCCCTTCTGGGGACACCGTGGGGAAGAGCAATGTCACATGCTGAGGCTCACGCAGGAAGCCACACCTACCTGAGAAAAGGCGGCTTCGCAGTCCCGTTGGCATCGTTCTGTGAGAAAGATAGAGGTTTATGGAGGGCTTGGAATTGGTCTTTTAAAAATTATTTTAGGTAGAGATGGGGACTTGCTATGTTGCCCAGGCTGGTCTCGAACTCCTGAGCTCAAGTGATCCTTCCACCTTGGCCTCCTAATGTGCTGGGACTACAGGTGTGAGCCACTGCGACTGGCCTGTGTTGGAGATTTTTAATAAGACTGAAGGTAAAGACATCTAAAACATAAGGGATGTTTAAAAGTGCCCTGTCCCAATCTGTGAGACTGTCTAAATTCACTTGGAAGAATAAGGCAAGAACAGAAAACGCTCTGAAAGGCAGTAACGGCCCTCCCAGGTGTCAGAGCGTGGACAGAGCATGGCACTGCCTGCGCGGGTCACCCGTGATGTGGAGCCGTCTGCTAAACTCGGAAACAGTTTCACAGAATGAAGCTTGAGCAACAGCGACATCACAGAAGAAAACATTTGTGCCAAACAGATCCTCTCTGACTCGGGGGAAGCAGATCCTGCAGGTCTTCAGCCACGGTCTTTTGAGCGCAGAATCTAGTGACTGGGGTGTGCTTTTTGGGAGCTGACTCCTGAAGCATGACACAAAGAAACAGGAAGTAAAAATAAAACCCCACTGGCTTTGGGGCTGCTACAGCCAGGGGTCTTGTAGGAAGCTGAAAAACTGAGGAAAAGAGAAGGTGGAACCAAAGTTCAAAGGTGTCTGCAGGGCTCGGGGTCGGGAGCACCTCCTTCCAGCACCTGCCACCCAGTGCGGGCCAGGGCCAGGTGTGTGCCGCCTTCTTTCCCTCACTCCAAAAAGCCTGCAGGGTTTAACAATCTTTCCAGCCCGCACACAGGGAGCAGAGTCAGGCAGCCGCCCAGGAGAGGGCAGTGTAACACCGTGTAACCAGCCTGCGGCCCGGCCACACCCTCCTGACAGCCCCAGGAAGCGTCCCGGCACCCCCGGGGGGTCTCAGGGAGCATGCACACCTCTCGAGATTGACTTAGGGAGGCCCTCTCGTGCCCGATGCCGGCACTGGTGTGCAGGCCATTCCTGGAGGTGGAGGCCCAGGCCAGGCCTCCTCTGCGATGGCCTCCACTGCTTGCTGGGTGTACAGACTGTGGACACAGAAGGCAGGCTGGAAGCCCCAGGGCTGTGGCCTGAGACCTACCCCACCCTCCCTAGACCCCCTGGGCAGGGCAGCTGGGGCCAATTCAGTGTCTGCTTTTCATCACTGGAGCACAAAGCCACTGCCCTGCCTCGCACATCCTACAGGGCTTTAAATGGCTGCGAAAGTGACTTCTCCCTGCAGGGCACGCAGCGCTTCCCTAGCAGGCCTCAGAGGAAGCCCTTGCCCGTGTGAGGTTCGTGCTCTGTGATGATGATGGGCTCATTTATAACTTAAATGCACCAGGGCGCCTGTCGCGTGTGCTCACGGTGCC